CTGAGAAACAGTACTTGGTCTCCTATTAAATTAAACTGACAAATAAGACATTTAAAAATGAATATACAAGGTAACATGGTTGTAAAGAACCCTACACGAAAGAAAAACCTTACTTTCATAAATAAGGAACATTTTTTTCTTAATTTTTTCCTCTTCCTCTTCCTCCTTCTTCTCCCCTGCACACCCCTACTCCTCGGCCTCCCCCTCCTCTTTTTTTTCTTCTTCTTCTTCTCCTTTTTCTACTTTTTCATAGATAAGAGCATAAAGTTAACATACAGAATGTACAATTATTCAGGTGAGTCACAGAATCTTTGCTTTCTAGGTAGATGACACAGAAAGTAAATAGGGCAACCAACTATCCTGGTTTCTCTAGGACTGTTTTGGTTTTAGCGCCGAAAATTTCACATCCAGGAAACCCTATGGTTCCAGGCAAATCAGGAAGGTTGGTTACCATAGAAAGAATAACCATTCACATTGTAGGTAAAGACAATCAGTGAATCAAGCAACCAAGCCCATCAAGACAGAGTGAATTTTGTATAAGTTTTAACACATTTAGTAGCTTAAATATTAAGCTTTCACTTTGAAGTTTTAGCCGTTATGATGCTCTTTCATACTCTGGTGACACTTTTATTCTAATGCAGATATCAGGGGGTCTACAATTTTAAAACTAATTTTATCATAGTATGAAGCTCTTATTTATGATTACATGCTATACATTCATCATTGCCATCTTTAAATAAATGAATAAATGGATATTTTAAATATTTCTCAGTTTTGATTTTTAATATAGTAAATACAAATAGTTGTAATCACATATACAAAAGCTCTCTGAAGTCCTCAATAAGTGTGAAGTAATCTGAAGAACAAAAATTCCGAGAATTTCTGCTTATGAAAAAACAAAAGCATATTCTCAGTTGCATTTTTCTGTCACTATTGTTCCCAGTACAGTTGTAACCACTCATATTAATTATAACTTTTAACTGAAGTAATTAACTTCTATGTCACAGAAAAGACAAGAAAGTAGATAATTAACATCTTTCTGTCATCTCAAAGCATTTAAACAGATTAACAAAATTCATAATACAACTTTTTGTAGTTACATGCATCCCTGTGTGGCAAAAGTGAGCACATTTATTAACATGACTCATTGTTACAGCTTCTGTAATATACACAAATAAGTAAAATTATTCTTAATAATATATGTGTCAGTGTTCTATCCTACTTAGAAAGTAATTAGATATGTATTGATTACATATTAATTTATTTAATATCAATTTAAGGCTTAAGTTACCTAGAGATCTTAGAAATTATCTTCAACATGAAGATATATTATAAAACACAATTACTGTTGAAATAAAAAGTGTATCAGAATAAGGATTCACTTCACTTGGACATAAACTTACATTTTTCACAATTTTAAACATTACATAAAAGTAATGTTAGCTTATTTGATCAGTTAAAAAATATTAAGAAAAACATACCCAGGTAAAATAAGCTGTTTGTTTATATTATACTTAATAGTGATACATCAGAAAAGACAAAGCTGTTTTTATTAAACTCACATTGGTAAACTAATCATTTGCCAAATATTTGCTTAATTATGTGAATTCAGATTCTTAAAAAGTTTCTGAGTTAGCTTCAGGAAGAACCAATTGTAGTGCATTTTTATAGCACATTAAAGTATTAGAAAGCTAATTGCTTATATTTTAGGGATTTTATATAGGCATTTATTTATTCTATTAACCAATCAGAACAAATATCCTTTAATTTAAAAGACTTTGTAATCTTATTTATTTACACCCTCCAGAAACAGGAAAATATATACACACATTGAGAGGTAAATGTCTTTCCAAATTACAGACAGAGAGCTCATAGCTTCAATTCTACAATTTTAGCCACAGGTCAAGTAACACAAGAGACACAGAAATTTAAAAACAAAAAGCAAATTTTAAAACCCTCTCCAATCCAGATATCAAAGAGATATTCTCTTTCCTAGTGGCCATGCAATTTCTAATTGATTTGTTTCAAAATAGACAAACATTTAAACAAACAGAAAACAAATTAAAAAGACTAACAAACCAGATTCTCTGTCATCTCTTACCCAACAAAGAATAGGTATCTATTGTCTATCTACACAGATCACCAAATAGCCAGATCATAAGGCCAAACTCCTAGTCATTGCTGTCACCAATGAAGTATAACCTGCTGGCTATAAAAGTATCAAAAACAAAAATGAAGACAAAATTAACTGATAGGAAAAAAATTCCTGAGAATATAGAGCTGGCAAAGTTAAAGTTCTATTGCCACTTGGGATTCACCTTAAGGAGCCAAGAAAAATTATGTCTTGACATAGGCTGCTCATAAAGTATACTTCTGTGGGCACAAAAATAAAGATAGTATAAATCCACAAAAGCAAAGAAAGTGAAAAAAAAAAAAAAAAAACAACAAGAAGCAGCAGATAAGTGATAGGAAAACTTGGCGCTGATCAGGAGAACTTATTGTGCATCTCAGCAGGAACTTCAAAATTGTTAAAAGATATCTTTTTCCACAGGTACAGTCATAACTCTCATATAAATATAAAATGAATACTTGGCAAATGTTTTTAATTAACTCATTAATTAATGAGGGGACCAGTAAGATGTTACAACTGATTCAAATGAGAATTTGACTTGAAGAGATTTACATTCCCTACTGGAGAAAATTTCTTTGCATTGTGGTCAGGATTTAAATAAAATACCTACAGACTGAAAATATGTACATTATGCTCCGTTCCACAAGCAGAGTTGGGGAATAACTTACTCAAAGACAGCCAGGGGCAGAGAGAACCTGAATGAATGAGCTAGACAGAACACTCACTAATATTTTTTTTACCCACTGAAAAATGTTTCAGAGCTATTCACAAAATAATACAGATGGCATAAATCCACAAAATGAAATAAAGTGAAAAAGAAGAAACAGAAAATAAGTGATGAGAAAACTTGGAAAAGTGGTTGGATGAGTAGTAACTGACTGAGTAGAGTAAGTAAATGGAAATGCAAGTGTCAAAAAGGATTATGGCAATGAGAAGCAATTCAGTTTCCTCACAGAACCCCTGAGGGGCTCAGAAGTTAGAAGCACCAAATGCCCCAGAAGGCAGGGATTAAAACTAAAAGCAGGAGAGTCAATAAAATATTTATAAAAGAAACAAAGGCCAAGCACAGTATTCACCCGTAAATCCCAGCACGTTGGGAAGCCAAGGCAGGTGGACTGCTTGAGACCAGGAGTTCAAGCCCAGCCTGGCAAACATGGCAAAACCCCACATCTACTAAAAAAGTAAAAATTAGCCAGGCATGGTAGTGCATGCCTGTAATCCCAGCTACTCAGGAGGCTGAGACACTAAATTCGCTTGAACCTGGGAGGCAGGGGTTGCAGTGAGCTGAGATTTTGCCACTGCACTCCAGCCTAAGCACAGAGTAAGACTCTGTCTTAAATAAATAAATAAATAAATAGATAGATAGATAGATAGATAGATAGATAGATAGATAGATAGATAAAATAAAATTCCAGATTTTTACCTCTGTCCCATCAAAAAAATTGACTAGGCCTGCTTAACTCTATCAAAACTACAGATTTACTTTCTAGGAAATTATTCCAGTGGACTTCTATAGTCTAAGACACCAAGCATAGCACAGCCTCCTTGAGTTGAGATGCAACCTAAATAGAAGGACTAGTGTAAGAGGATGAAGGGCTCCAGGATGATATCTTCAAAAGGAAAAAAAAGTCTTATTCAATGTGCTTGATTCTAGTCAAAGAGGTGTATTAAGTTGAAACACATAAAACTGAAAATATGCAACTATTTTGGGCCTACTAAAACTACCAATCTACCAGTTTCAAGCAAACAAAAACCTGAGGCTATTGTTAACTCCAGGAAAAACAAAGAGTTGACAGGAATGGAAATCTAATCACAGTAAATTACTCAGCTCAACTACAAATAACATTTAAATAGTCAAAATAATATAAACACTGAATGTTGACCAACCCAAAAATTAAATAATACATATAGAGAGCCAATAGAAGGCATAAGTATATATATGTGAGAGGAAGGAGGAACTATTATAAAAGAGATAAATCTTCAACATCCATTGACAGAAGTCAATAGAAAATATCTAAAATTGATATAATAAAGAAAAGTAATATAAGCATATTATTTAGAAGTTGGAGATAAATGCCAGAGAAACAGCTAAGAGAAGCGAAAACAGTTGTTTCTGGAAAGCATGAACTCAGTGAGTAGAAGTGCAATGAAGGACTTCTACTTTATTATAAGCCTTATATACTTTGACTTTTGTAATAACTGTATGCATTGTTTGGGGGGAAATAAAAATATTTTTAAAGTATAATACAGAAAGCTAAAAAGCAAACAGGAAACTGAGGGAAATATTTCATTTTTTTTCTTTTTTCCTTTTTTTTTTTTTAACAGCAGCACTTTTATTTCTACTTACACAATGATGTGTTGCTGGGGCCTGATCTTCTCACATAACAGTAGAAAACCAAAAACTGCACTCCAGCCTGTGCGAAATACAAAAATGCATACCAAAAAAAAAAAAAAAAAAAAAAAAAAAAAAACCTTACATAAATTAAAAGGATAAATACATACATTTACAGGTGTAAATGCAAACTACTTCCAACTCAAGGCAAGTAACAGTCCATGGTGTTCTGGCAGGAAAACATCAGCTAAGAAGGAAACTGGGTCCTATGGTTTAGACTTTTCCAACCCTGACGGACCAGCAGGACAGAAACAATTGGTTCAGGAGCCCATGCGAGCCTCTAGAGAAATCCCAAAACACTCAGCCCTGACACATTAATACCCTGCACAGATCGGAGACTGCTGGCCATGCAGACTCACCAAGCTACAGACTTGTCTTCCACAAGCACATTCTTATCTCAGCCATGAAGTGACCAAACCACATGTATGTACTAAGAGTTGAAATGAAAGAGATGTACAGAGTATTAAACAAATACCAAGGGGAACAGTTAACTTGAATACAAGGTCAAAAAAAATCAGCAAGTTCTACAATCTAGTGCTGATATCAGATACAAGTTTCAAGGACAATTTCTTTGCGAAGGCTATTCCAGTTTTGTGAGGCTAGCATGAGGTGTATGCATTTGCCAAGGGCAAATTTATACTTCTGAATTAACCCATGCAGCAAATGCTACACATCTACTTGCAGTCCATTTAGAAGCATTTGTGGTGGACGATGGAGGGGTCCAACTCATCATACTCCTGCTTGCTAATCCACATCTGCTGGAAGGTGGACAGTAAGGCCAGGATGGAGCTACTGATCCACACTAAGTACTTGCACTCTGGGGGCGTGATGATCTTGATCTTCATAGTCCTGGGTGCCAGGGCAGTGATCTCCTTCTGCATCCTAGTGGCAATGCCCAGATACATAGTGGTGCCACTGGACAGCACCGTTTTGGCATACAGGTCTTTGCAGATGTCCACATCATATTTCATGATGGAGTTGAAGGTGGTCTCGTGGATGCCGCAAGATTCCATGCCCAGGAAAGCTGAAACAGCACCTCCGGATACCAGAACCACTCGTTGCCAATGGTGATGACTTGGCCATCAGGCACCTCGTAGCTCTTCTCCAGGGAGGAGGAGGATGCGCCAGTGGCCATCTTGTGCTCAAAGCCCAGGGAGACATTGCACAGCTTCTTCTTGATGTCACGCATGATCTCCTGCTCAGTCATGGTAGTGAAACTGTAGGTGCACTTGGTGAGGATCTTCATGAGGTAATCAGTCAGGTCCCAGCCAGCCAGGTCCAGATGCAGGATGGTGTGGGGGAGGGTGTAGCCCTCATAGATGGGTACCATGTGGGTGACCCCATCTCCAGAGTCCATGGCAATGCCATTGGTGCACCCAGAGGTGTAAAGGGACAGCACAGCCTGGATGGCCATGTACATGGCCAGGGTGCTGCAGATCTCAAATGTGATCTTAGTCATCTTCTCTCAGTTGGCCTTGGGGTTTGGGGGGGCCTTGGTCAGCAGCACCAGGTACTCCTCCGGGGCCACATGCAACTTGTTGTAGAAGGTGTGGTGCCAGATCTTCTCCATGTTGTCCCACCCCATTGGTGACGATGTCATGTTTGATGGGGTACTTCGGGTCAGGATGCAGTGCTTAGTCTGAGCCTTATCACCCACGTAGGAATCCTTCTGGCCCATGCCCACCATCACACCATGGTACCAGGGGCACCCAACAATGGAGGGGAACATGGCTCAGGAAGCATCGCCCCAGCAAAGCCAGTTTTGCACATGTCGGAGCCATTGTCAATGAAGAGCACGGCGATTTCTTCTTCCATTGTGACTGGCAGAGGAGCGGGATGGTGGAGTGGTGGGAGAGCAGAGTGTGTGGGCTGGCGGCTGTGACTGAGACCCTGACGGAAATATTTCTAACAGTTATACAATAAGATGAATTTCCTTAATTGTATTAGTCCATTCTCATATTGCTATATAAAGAACTACCTGAGACTGGACAATTTATAAATAAAAGAGGTTTAATTGGCTCACAGTTCTACAGACTGTACAGGAAGCATGGCTGGGGAGGCCTCAGGAGACCATCACCAATCATGGCAGAAGGCAAAGGGGAAGAAGGTACATCTTACATGGCCAGAGAAGGAGGAAGAGAGCAAAGGGGGAGGTGCTACACACTTTTAAACAACCAGATCTCGTGAGAAATCACTCACGATCATGAGAACAGCAGGGAGGAAATCTGCCCCCATGATCCAATCACCTCCCACCAGACCCCTCCTCCAACACTGGGGATTACAATTCAACATGAGATTTGAGTGGTGACACAAACCTAAATCATATCATTAATATATAACAAGTTTTAAAAATCAATTTAAAAGAGGCTAAAACAACCCAATTTAAAATGAACAAAGGACAAGAAAAGGCAGCTCACACAAAAAAGAAAAATGGTTCACAAATATTAGGAAATATTCTTAATTGTACTTATAATCAAAGAAATTCACATTAAAACAACAAAGTGCATTCTTACAAACCTATCTGACTGGCAGACAGATTTAAATCATATTGATAATCTCAGGGTTGCCAAGTATGTGACATAGCAAGAACTCTCATACCCTGGAACAACCTACATGAAAACCACTCTGACATTTTCTATAATGTGCACAAAAATATATGTTCGAGATATAACAGAATAGCACTGTTTGTGATTATAAGTAATAGAAAGCAACCCAAATAACCTATGCCTATGAATTGGGTGACTAAATTAATCCTGGTCCCTTTAAGCAGTGGGATACTACACAGCAGTCAGAATGAAGAAACTTTCTCTGTGCTGATATGGAAAGTTTGCCAAGATATATTAAGTAGAACAAGATTGGAGGAGGTGGCCCAAGATAGTTAAACAGAACCCTCCATTGATTGTCCCTACTGCAGGAACACCAAAATTAAACAACTATCCACACAAGAAAGCCCCTTCATAAGATCCAAAAATCAGGTGAGTGATCACAGTATTTTAATGTCCTACAAGGACATTAAAAAGTATAATTTTAATGTCCTACAAGGAAAGAGGCACTCAAGAGGGTAGAAAAGACGGTCTTGAGTTGTCTACACCACTCATCCCCCATTCTCCAGCAGCACCTTGTGGTCTGGAGAGAGTCCGTGTGCTTGGAGGAGGAAGAGTGAACTGATTGTGAACCTTTGTATTGGAACTCAGTGCTGCCCTGTCACAGCCAAAAGCAACACAGGGCAGAATTCAGCAGGTTCCCATGGAGGAGCATTTGGACCAGCCCTAGCCAGAAGGAAATAATCCATTCCAGCAGTTGGAAACTAAGTGCCAGCTAGCCCCACCACTGCAGGCTAAAGTGCTCTGGGATCCTAAATAAACTTAAAAAGGCAGTCTCAGACACAAGGACTACCATTTCTGGGTAAGTCCTGATGCTGGGCTGGGCTTGGAGTCAGCGGATTTGCAGTGCATGCAACCCAGTGAGACACCAGCTGGGACAGCCAAGGGAGTGCTTGAATGACTCCTCACCCACCTCCAGGCAGCACAGCTTGCAGCTCCAGCAGAAACTCCTTTTGCTTAAGGACAGAAGAGGGGAGAGTAAGGAGGACATTTGTCTTGTAAATTGGATACCTGCTCAGCTACAGTCTGACAGGGTACCAGGGCAGAGTTCTGAAGCCTCCATTCTAGGACCTAGTTTCCAGGTAACATTTCTAGATCCACCCCGGGCCAGAAGTAACCTCCTCTCCTGAAGGGAAGGACCCAGAATTCATCACCTGCTGAATAAAGAGCCCATGGTCCTTAAATAAACATTAGCAGCAGCCAGGCAGTAGTTGCCACAAGCCTTGCATGAGACCCAGTGCCATGCTGGCTTCAGGTGTGACCTAGCACATTCTCAGCTGTGGTGGCACAGGAAGGGAATCCTGCTTGAGGTAAAAAGAGGGAAGAGTAAAAAGAACTTTGTCTTACAACTTGGATACCAGCTCAGCCACAATAAAATAAAGCACCAAGTAGATTTCTAAAGTTCCCAATTCCAGACCCTACTAGCCCCTGGATGGTATTTGCAGGCCTACCCTGGGTCAGAAGGGAACCCACTGCCCTGAAGGGAAAGAGCTCAGGCCTGGCAGGATTCACCAACTCCTGGTGACTAAAGAGCTCGTGGACCTTGAATAAACATCAGGTAGCCAGGCAACAGTCACCACAGGCCTTAAACAAGACCCAGTACTATGCTGGCTTCAGTAATGACCCAACACAGGCTCTGTGGTGGTGGTCTTTGGAGTGCTTGTGTCACTCCTCCCCAGCTCCAGGCAGCTCAGCAGAGAGAGAGAGAAAGAGAGACTTCATTTGTTTGTTTGTTTGAGGGAGAGTGAGGGAAGAGAACAAGAGGCTCTGGCTGGTAATCCAAAAAATTCTCTCAGATCTTACTTAAGGCCACCAAGGCAGTATTTCTACAAGTCTGTAAGAGTCACAGCATTACAGGGCTTAGCATGCCTCCTAATGCAGTTATGGCTGCAGTGACCAAAGACGTAGAGCACAATACTCAATTCTCTTTGAATACTTGGAAAACTTTATCAAGAAGGACAGGTGCAAACAAGCCCAGACTTTGAAGATTAGAATAAATACCTAACTCTTCAATGCCCAGACATTGATAAACATCCACAAACATCAAGACCACCCAGGAAAATATGATCTCACCAAATAAACTGAATAAGGCACCAGCGACAAATTTCAGAGTGACAGAGACAAGTGACCTTTCAGACAGAGAATTCGAAACAGCTGTTTTGAAAAAGCTAAGCAAAATTCCATATAACATAAGGAATTGAAAATTCTATCAGATAAACTTAGTAAGAGAATGAAGTAATTTTTTTTAAGTCAAGCAGAGATTCTAGAGCTGAAATATTCAACTGACAAGCTGAAGAATGCCTCAGAGTCTCTCAACAGCAGAATTGATCAGGCAGAAGAAATAACTAGCGTGCTTGAAGACAGGCTATTTGAAAATACAGAGGCAGGGGAGACAAAAGAAAAAAAGAATAAAAAGAATAAAGTACACCTACAAGATCTATAAAATAGTGCCCAAATAGCAAATCTAAGAGTAATTGGCCTTAAAGAAGAGGTAGAGAGAGAGGGATAATGGTAGAAAATTTATTCAAAAGATAAAAACGAAAACTTTCCAAACCTAGAAAAAGATATCAATATGCAAGTACAAGAAAGTTATAGGATGCCAAGCAGATTTAACCCAAATAAGACTACATCAAGATATTTAATAATCAAACTCCCAAAGATGAAGGATAAAGGGGGGATCCTAAAAGCAGAGGAAAGAAACAAATACCATACAATGGTGTTCTAGTACATCTGTCAGTAGACTTTTCAGTAGAAAGCTTATAAGCTAGGAGAGAGTGTCATCATAAATTTACAAAGCTGAAAAAAACCCTTTTATTTCAAAGTATACCCAACAGAAATATTCTTCATACAAGAAAGAGACATAAAGACTTTCCCAGATGAACAAAAGCTGAGGGGTTTTATTAACATCAGATTTGATGTTAAAAAAAAATACCAAAGAGAGTTCTTCAATCGGAAATAAAATGACATTAACAAGCAATAAGAAATCATCTGAAGGTATACAAAATTACTGTTAATAGTAAATACACAGACGACTATAGGATATTATAACACCATAATTGTGGTGTGTAAAGTACTCATATCTTAAGTAGAAAGACAAAAATATGAACCAATCAAAAATAATAACTACAACAACTTTTTAAGACATAGTGTACTAAGACATAAATAGAAGCAACAAAAAGTTAAAAAGCAGGTGGAATGAAGTTAATCATTTTTATTAGTTTTGCTTGTTTTTACAATCAGAGTTGTCATCAATTTAAAATGATGGGTTATAAGATGTTATTTGCAAGCTTCATAGTAGCTTCAAATAAAAATCCTACAACAGATACCCAAGAAATAAAAACATATGATCATAGAAAGTTACTTTCACAAAAAGGAAGACAAGAAGGAGGGGAGAAAGGAAGACTACAAAACAACCAGAAAACAAATAACAAAATGACAGGAGTAAGTCTTTACTTATCAATAATAACACTGAATGCAAATGGACTAAACTCTTCGATCAAAAGACAGAGTGGCTGAATAGATTAAAAAACAAGATTTTATGATCTGTTTCCTGCAACAAACATACTTCATCTATAAAGACACAGATAGACTGAAAATAAAGGAATGGAAAAAGATATTCCACGGAAATGAAAACCAAAAAATCAGGAGTAGCTGTATTTATATCAAACAGGATAGATCTCAAGACAAAAACTATAGAAAGAGACAAAGAAGGTTTATTATATAATGATAAAGAAGTCAATTCAGCAAGAAGACATAACAATTTTAAATATGTATGCACCCAACATTGGAGCACATAGATGCATAAAGCAAATATTATTAGAGCTAAAGAGAAATACATTCTAATACAATAGTAGCTGGAGACTTCAACACCCTACCTTCAGCATTGGACAGATCATTCAGACAGAAAAAGTCAACACAGAAGCATCAGACTTAACCTGCACTATGCACCAAATGAACCTAATAGATATTTATAGAACATTTCATACAACGGCTGCAGAATACACATTCTTCTCCTCAGCACATGGATTGTTCTCAAGGATTGATCATATGTTAGGTCACAAAACAAGTATTTAGAAACTCAAAAAGATTGAAGTCATATCAAGTATCTTCTCTCACCACAATGGAATAAAACTAGAAATCAATAGCAAGAGGAGCTCTGGAAACTACAAATACATGGAAATTAAAGAATATGCTCCTGAATGACCAGTGGGT